GTTTGAATTATGAATTTGCATAAAATAATATTTTTGATTATTTTAAATTTATACCTGAACAATATTGTACAGATAAGAAAAGAGTATTTTCAATATTTTATTGTAAGGAAAGAAGAAAACAAGGAAGAATAAACCAAAATAAGATCTAGAAAAAGCACTCTAACCTATTGAATAGTGATCTGACTTCACGGCTCCACCATCATTTTACGTAGTCTCTCGGGAACATTTATGCCTTTTTGGTTGCACACAAACTTGTAAAGCTTTGGCATCCCTATTTGATCCACAATCAAGTCCACAATTTCGTCACATCCCGAAATTGCCAACACTTGAAGCTCTGAAAAGCTGTTTGCTCCTGAAAAATCCAGCGTGAATGACACATCGTATTCACAGTATTCCAATACAAGGATCTCTAATCTGGGTAGTTCCTTTAGTATCTTCATTGGATCCTCAGTGAATTTCATCCCCATAAGGACAAGGTAGATAAGGTTTGGAGGGAATTCAATGGTGTCAAGCTTGAATGGAAAATTAGATTCAGCCCTGAGAATCAACTCAACAAGATGGTCATAGTGGGACAGGTTTAACCTCTTAAATTTCTGAGTGAACCACAACTCCAATTCTTGGAGCTTCTTCGATATGGGTATTTTACCAGATATTACATTTATGTGTTTGTTATTAATGTCATATAAACTCAGCTCTCTCAAGTTGGAAAGTTTTTGTAATGAGCTAGCTTTCAAAATGGTACCACACATCCCATATAAAGTTTCTATGTTCGGTAAATACACCTCATTTCTGACATTCAAATTTGTGCATTTGTCAGACTCAAACATTTTACCATTGCCTAAGAGTAAATGCTTCAAATGCTTCATCCTGAAAATAGTTCTTGGCAAATCACAAATAAAACATGCTTTTTGAATATCCAATGTCACCAATTTCTTGAGATTCCTTATGCTTGAAGGCATCCTTCTAAATCTCCCACTCAACTTAAGGAAAGTCAACCCACTCAGATCTCCTATCTCATTAGGAATCAAAGACCATCCTTCTCCTGAGTTACAAAAACAGAACAAGGTACGAAGTTTTGGAGTTGCAGAATTTGAAAAAGAAAATTGACTAGTGTCGTCAATGGTAAGTCTACGAAGCATTGAAAATGAATTAGACTGTATATTATGGCGTGTACCAAAGAAGTTGTTCTCGTTGGCCATTTTGATGCAAAGACCGCGTAGAAGATCATGAATGAAACAACTTTGCACTCTTCCATCGAAATCTCTCTCAGACACTTGGATTAAATTTCTGTCACTTAACATCTCTAACTTAACAGCCCCAATGTCATAAGGATTTCGATTTCCGTCAACCTGGATCAATTTCTCGGAAACCCAAGCCATGACCAACTCAGGACTAGAAATTTTTTGATCTTCAGGGAACAGCCCAAAGTAAAGGAAAAAAGGCCTCAAGTCAGGAGGTAAATCTTTGTAACTTAGAGACAAGATTTCTGAACAATTCTTTTCAGCACTAGTGCTCAAGATGT